AGTCAGAGAAAAGTGAAAATACTGGTGCGGGAAAAGAGAAAATACTGGTAGAAGAACTATTTCAATATTAGGCAATATTAGGGTGGAGTTAATCTATTCTCAACAATAACAAGTCACTGCAAGGAAATTTATCACGTCGAAGAAGCAATTCAATATAAAAATTGCATCCGTTAAAAACAATTGGTAGTTATGGATTTTTATTATTCCCGGAAAAAAAACTAAAAAATGAAATTTATTCTTACCAGTTTTTACTCTGGTGCGCTGCCAAGTTGAGATAATCTAGCGTGACCCACCGGTGGGTCACCCCGGCGTGAACGTGTTAAATTGCTGCCCACAGCCACGTATAAGTTGGAAACCCCTGTTTTAGACAGTCAGCTACCCACCGTTGTCAGAAATTTGAAATAAAAAATTTAAGTTTTGCAGTTGGGTTAATGAAGTAAATAGCCCTATATATTTAACTATTCGATAAAAACCAAATCAAGTGTTCTTTTTATAGATTGCGGTGGTGCTTTATTTCCTCCCACTGGAATTATGGCAACTCCAAACTTCACTGTTGAAACACATACTGTTATCGATTGCAAATGGAAGATATACAATGACCATTATGAAAACAAAACAGCCGTTATACGTTTCGATGTTCTCGACATCCCTGGAGAAGTTTCCCACTATTGCAGGAACAATGTTTTTTACGTTCTTGGAGGTAAGTGAAAGTTAGTATAAGATATATAATGGCTAATAATAAATGTCTTTCTTTGGCCTATTTTTTTAAGTTTCTTACTTACATATTGATATGTTTCGCTTCTTCCCTAACACTAGGTTTACGGACGTTTCTTATATACCCATCTCTACGGACACGCGTCAATTCGACGCATGAACGTATGAACATATAACAGCATTTACACAGATGCCAACTTGCTTCGGACAGCAAATATATATTTTAAAGTGGTTCTTTATCAATTGTGATTCTCGGTTTAATAAATTCAATTTAGTAGATTTTTTATCCACCACTATTTCTAAATAATTCGTAGGCTTATATAATTCACCACTTATAATTTGCAAAATTTACAGCCACCCCATAGACCAGCGGTTCTTAACCTATGGGTCGCGAAGCATATTTCTTGAGTCGCGCTAAGTCGAACCAAAAAAGTTAGTAATACACCAAATAATAAGTTATACCAACACCTCCTAGAAGAAGTCATTGTGGCTTACTCAGCCTAATTTTGACTTTTTTTTGGGTCGCGACATGAACATATTTCTCAAATTTGGGTCGCGGCTTAAAAAGGTTAAGAACCACTGCCATAGACTACTGAACTCAAACTGTCTTTTATTTTAACTTTTTATCCTATTTCATGATGAAAGGGATAGGGGCCTTCTGCGCGGCCCAGGTGCCCAGTTTTTTATAAATAAAAAAAGAAAGATTTGCAAAATTTATGATCCGTCCCATCCTGACTTATGCATCCCCAGCTTGGTGCAACATCTCCACATCACTCCTTAAAAAACTCAAAATATGCCAGAATAAAATCCTCAGGAAAATAACAAAAACAAGATGGTTTATCAGAAATAAAAACATACATCGCGACCTCTACATAGATTCTTTAGATCATCATATTGCAAAGCTTAATTTCAGATTTTTTGAAAAAACCAAAAATGGTGACACCGCAGGATTCAACGAAATTTTTACTTTTGAAAACTTAAGAAAAGACGTAAACCTCAGGCCGATGGCAGCTTACTTTTGCAGTGACGTAATTTTATCTAAAATTCAAAATATTTAAATTCCTTTTACTTCAATTGCATTCCAATTACCAGAAAGAACCACCCTAAACATCACAATTCAAGACGAATGGGAAAACGGCCCCAGGCGCCCAGATAAATATTGATGATGATTTGCAAAATTTATTTAGTAGTTATTTCCCGTTTTATTAAAATTGTGGCGTATCCGGAGCAGTTGGCATCTCTGCACTTAGAAAGCTATGTAATTATGTACTGTAAGAAAGAAAAAAGGAAAATATGAGATATATTTATGAAATATTCTAGTATTTTATTTTTTAATACTCGAAATAAACAACTGAAACCTTCAAAGTCTGACATTCTGCGTTTGTTCTTTCTATTATTGCTTATCGGCAACAGTTGTTTATCGCTTGTTTCATTTTAGATAGCGATAACGGATCAAAGTATTGTCGGTACATTCTTATTTATAATTGATGTCATGTTTGCATGTTTACTCAAAATTTTGTCTAAATTACGATCGCGTCAAATTGACGCATATCCGTAGAGATAGGTATACCACAAAGAGAATTTCAATATTTCAACGCTTTTGAAGAAAATAGACTTCAATATATATTTACCTCGATCAATGGATAAAAGTCATTACAAGAGATAAAATAAAAATGCAAACGGGTTTTGTAATGTTCCTTACAAAATTCGAAATCCGTCAAAATGACGCATCCCGTAAACCTAGTTTTAAATATCCCGTCCTATCACGGTTTTGAACACATATCAACTAATTATTATTCTAAGAAAACTCTAGCAGAATAGTTACGACGTGACTCGTTTCATCTCACTCATTATCCGGCAAAAGAAAATATTCAACTTCAACTGGCAGTTCGTAAAGTTTCGTTGGAAAGCTTCAGCTTTTTCTAGTCAAAAATTAAAAATCCATGCTTTCATCTTTATTAAAAAAATTTATACAGTGAATTCGCGATAACTCGAATCTGATAGGACTGACGAAAAACTTCGACATATCGGAAGTTCGACTTACTGTTAGTTTCGGCTTTGGACTTTCAAAATATTGTCGCATAATTTAATTAATGCTTATTAATTACAAATCTTCTAAATGCTTACAATATTTAAGATCATTTTTCTGACAAGCCATTTACGATAAGACTGTTAGAAGTACTTTATGATACCCTGGTCCATCGGCTGCCACTTTGCTGTTGTGTTTGGCGGGAGAAAAATGCAAGTTTACTGCTTTCAAATTAGGTAGATCACTATGCGCTGTGCATTTATCCATAAAGAGTATCACTTTTCTTTTTTTAGCGAAGAATTTCCG